CTTCTGTACATTTTCCAAAGGTAGCCCCATCTAGAGCATGTTGTAATAGTCCAAACAGGAGATGACCAGGGATGAGTGTGTGACTGGAGAATTTCCCTATGCAGGAAAAGGTATAACTGATGCACAACACAAAGTCATGCCCTCGTAACCACGGTTGCCACCTGTTCTTTGAGCAGGAGCCGTGTGTCCAGGAGGACCTTCAGGTCTGGGATAGTGCAACCCTACCCAAAGATGATAAACTCTTGCATATAGAGGGGCCCACCCACAGCCACTCCATCTTACCAAGGTTCAGCTGAAGTCTGTTGTTCCCCTCCCGGCCCCCACAGCCTCCAGGCACTGCAAAAGTACAGTACAGCATCACTTACTTCATCCAGGATGGAGATATATAACTGACTATCATCAGTGTACCAGTGATACCTCATCCGTGGTGATGGATGATTTTGCCCAACAGTTTCATGTAGGTGTTTATTACTTTATATATAACTCAAGGCAGCAAACATACCTATTACTCCTGCCTCCTCCTATTGTATTGTATTATAAAAATTTCTCCAGTATGTTGCATCCTAGAATACTGAATGAATCATAGAACATAAGGGTTGGGAAGTACCGTGGAGCTCAACCCTCTGCCCATTGCAGAAATCTACTACAGCAGCATTGGTGATAGACGGCTTCTGTTTAAACTTGAGCAAAGAACATGTGAAACACACCCAACATATCTAACTGCTCATTTATTTATTTTTCTTTCAAGCTCCTTGGTCACACTGTTTTGGACATGCTATAGATTAGTGCGTCTCAAACCTGGGTAAATTACCCCAAACTGGGTAAAAGTAATTTTTATTTGGGCAGTGGCACACAAACCCATTACCCAATCACTACAGGGACATTTAAATTGATTTAAAGTGTTTTACCTACACTGGATAAAAATCAAATAAGTGGCTTTGGGTAATGAAGGAAAAAGTTTGGGAAGTACTGTTCTAGGTCAGGGCTTTTCAACCTTTTCACAGATTGTACCACTTTTAGGACATGATAATATTCGAGTACCACCAGTGCTTAGCAAGGTGTCAAAAACTTGATGACTAAAAAAAAGGGGGGGGGGGCGGATTTTGGGCTTTACCGGTTAGATTCATTTGTTGTTATAGAAATGGCTAGTTTATAATATTATGAAAAAGTAAAAAGTTAAGGTTCAATGTTAATGCTTCCTTCCTACTGCAACAGTGGAACTCAGAAGTCAATCCTTTTCTTTTCTTTTTCCCTTCTCCCCCTTACTTTTCCCTTTTTCTCTCACCCTTTGCTTGCACCTCCCCTCACCCTTTGCTAGCAAAAGGCTCTGGCTTGCTCTCATTCACTCACATGTTGCTCACACAAGCTTCTCTCTTGCTCTCATTCACTCACACGTTGCTCGCACAAGCTTCTCTCTTGCTCTCATTCACTCACACGTTGCTTGCACAAGCTTCTCTCTTAGTCTTTCACTCACACGTTGCTCGCAAAAGCTTCTCTTGCTCCATTCATTCACACGTTGCTTGCAAAAGCCGCTCGCTCGCTCTTTCACTCATCCTTTGCTCGCAAAGGCCGCTCACTCGTTCTCTCACCGCTTTGCTAACAAAAGCCTCTTATCTTCTCTTCTCTCTCTTTCTCCGTGTTTTTTTTTCTCTCCTGCCAAAACCTGCTCCTTTTATAGCTTCTCCTCTCTCCGCCTCCTCTTCCTCCTTTTCTCTTCCGGGTGTGCCAGAAGCTCCTACCAGCATGCAGCCACACGTGCAGATCCTGGGGCTTCTGCTGAGCCCTGCAGCTCCAGCTGATCTCCTCCAGGTCTGTGTGGCGCCGGTTTAGCTGGTTCCCTCCCCCACTACTCTTGGGTTCCCTCCCCCACTACTCTTGGCTAGGGGCCACATACCACCTGCCAGGTGCTAAAGTACCACTGATGGTACGCGTACTATCAGTTGAAAAGCCCTGTTCTAGGTTGTCAGTGTCCTTTCTAAAATATGCTGCTCGAAGTTGGACTCAGTATTCTAGGTACAATCTGACCAGCACAGATTAGAGGGGAATAATATCTTGAATACCTTGAACTGGATAGTTTACTCCTATTGATACAGGCCAGTTTTTTTTTCTTTTTGGAAGTTGTATCACATGTTGGCTCTAGTTCAGTTTATGGTCTACCAACGTAACTATATCCTTTTACTGGATAGTGATGTGTTGCATAGTTCTTTTATCCTATATTCTGAGTTTTCTTTTGCAAACGTAGAAACTGGGAATGGTAGTATACAGATAGGCCTTGACTTACAACAGTTTGTTTAGTGACCGTTCAAAGTTAGTGATTTTTGACCGTGTTTCACACTGATGACCATTGCAGCATCCCCATGGTCATAACATCAAAATTCAGATGCTTGGCAACTGACTCATATTTATGACAGTTGCAGTATCCTGGGTTCACGTGATCACTGTTTGGGAAATTCTGACAAGCCAAGTCACAGCTGCAGTGATTCACTTAACAACTGTGGCAAGAAAGGTTGTTAAATGGGGCAAAATTCACTTAACTGTCTCACTTACCAACAAAAATGCTGGGCTGTTTTGGTCATAGGTCAAGGACTACCTGTAATATCTTCTATGACAGTAGTTCCAATGATGTTTCTGTGTCCTGCAAACTATAGGCCTCTTTACTCAGCCTTTCCCATAATCAAGTAAAATTTCATATTTGCAATCACTGCAATATGACTGGAATTTCTGGTACAGAATTAAAAACTACACTTTTTCTTGAAAGGAAAATTCTCCTTGGGTCAAATTCAATTCCAGATGACATGTCCATTTCGTTTTCTTGTTAATAAAATGAAAGTTGTTATTTCTCATCCATTCAGATATTAACCAGGGTCAGCTCTGCTTAAAGCAGACATGTCAAACACAAGGCCCGGGGGCCGGATAAGGCCCGCGAAGTGGTTTCATGTGGCCCGTGAAGCCATCCTGGAAACAGTGAAGGAACGGCCCCTGCTGCTTTGGCCCTGGCCCAGGCCGGCCGGGAGCCAATGTACAATTTTGTGGTGGCCCTCTATGCTGAAAGGCATTCAGTCTTAGCTCCATAAGCCCCCCCCCCCCGCATGGCCTGAGAGGAACAGTGAGGCTCCTCCAGTGGACCATGCCTTGGCACTTGCCCTTCTGCCAGAGATCCTCAGATCTATCCCACTGCTGCCCAGGCCCCCATAGGCACCCTTGATGCGAACGATGTAGAGCTGGTCACGCCCACCCAGTAGGCCACACCCACTCCATCCACACCCACCCAGTAGGCCACGCTCCCCTGCCCCCCTGAGGGCAACCGCAATGCTGATGCAGCCCTCAATGAAATTGAGTTTGACACCCCTGGCTTAAAGTTTTTTTAAAAAAAAAAATCAGCCAATATAATAAACAGATGAGCAAAACATGCTTGAAAATGTATGAAAATTCTTGTGTTTATATTCTGGTTCTTTTATTTTGTTCAGTGAACGTCCTTTTCTAGAATTTTAAATGCTGCAAAAACTCAACAGGCAAAGCAAATATTCATGCCGAACAAATGTGTTCTGTGCCTTTACAACGAGGTAGGGGAAATATGCAGTGCACAGATTTTGGAATTCTTTCCAAATCTTTTACTGGAGTGGTCATAAGAGGCATGTATTTTGAATACTGTACTGTACTATACAGTAATATCTTGCATCTGTTTGTAGATGCAGATGTGTGTCCTGTATATGTGTATTTGAGATCCTAATCAGAGCAGCAAATGCATATGTGTTGCTCTGATTGGGGTCTCAAATATATATATACAGGACACATATCTGCATCTACCTTGATTAGGCCCACATAGACAAACAGCAACACATGGACATATTCTGATTAGTACACACGTATCCCTGTGTATCATTTGTGTGTATTTGCATGTTTGTACCAGGAAGCAGAGGATAGGTTACGTACGCTGTAAGGGAAACTTAGAATGGAAGAGTTGGCAACATTCTGAGCCACTGTTCTGTAGAATCTTCAAATATATCTAGCCCATTTCAAACTCAGACTTCCTTTAGTCCTACGAATAAACAAAGTCCGAGTCCCTTAATATAATTTCTTTCTAATATGTTTTATTTAAGTTTGTGTATATGTGTGTGTATTTTTGTTTTCTTAGTAGAAAACTGAGAAATAAAATAAAACTTCCTGTTATAGCTGAGCATCCTAATTCTGATGTGGGTATTTTTTTTTTTTTTGAGGAACCATTAATTTTGCCCAACTCACATGTTTTGACCAAGTTGGCATGCTCCAGCGCCCAACAATTAAGCAGTGCCATCTTAAAGGACCCTTTTCTGCCATGACACCTGCCTTCTGAAACACCATTCTATGACTCCCACTGTGGCCTTTTTAAATGAGCCCTTAAAACCTGGCTGGGTCCCCAGGCTCTGGGATAGAGGGGTCAAGTATGATGTTTTGAATGGTTGTCAGCTTCTTCTTTTTAGTTACTTTTGGTAGCAGTGCCGCTCCTTGTTTTTAAACTATTATTCTTTTTCTTGTATTTGGTAAGGCACCCAGAATTGTGAAAATTAGGGCAGCCCATGAATTCCATAAATCCATAGTGCTACACATCCTTCAGAAGACCTAGACAAAGTCTACATTCATTTAATCAGAAATATATTCACATGGCCTTAGAAACTCAGTTCTGAGCATTGCTTTGTTCTGTTTATGTTTGAATGTGAATGCCATCGTTTTCACTACAGAAAGAAGAAACAGCTATTCACAAGAATATTTGTTTATATTGAGCAATACACCTTTTATTGTAAAAGTATACCAAAATACAGAATGCAACAGAGGTTTGCTTGCACTTAGCAGCTAACTGTACTGTAAATGAAGATATTATTATATTAAAATTAATAGAAACATATAAAAAATGTTTTATGTGTTGTATACTGCCCAGAGTTACTTTAATGCGAGATGGGTGGATATACAAATACGATATAATAAAGATATCCTGCTATAATTATTTTTTCTTTCTCCCCTAGGTGGGCCCAGCAGGATCCCAGTTTGGCTTGTTAGCCTGCCTTTTTGTGGAGCTCTTCCAGAGCTGGCAGGTCCTAGAGAATCCCTGGAAGGCTTTTTTGAATCTTTCTGGGATCGTCCTTTTTCTTTTCGCCTGCGGTCTTCTGCCATGGATCGACAATATTGCACACATATTTGGTTTCCTCAGTGGCCTATTACTTTCTTTTGCTTTCCTGCCCTATATCACTTTTGGTACTGCAGACAAATATCGCAAACGGGTGATGATCATGGTCTCACTCCTGATCTTCGTTGGTTTGTTTGCATCTCTTGTGATCTGGCTGTATGTGTATCCCATCAATTGGCACTGGACTGAATATCTAACCTGCTTGCCTTTCACAACCAAGTTTTGCGAGAAGTATGACTTGGACCAGACCTTGCACCGATGAAGCATTTAAGTGGATTTAGTAGAAAGGATTTTGAGGAACAAGGACAGAGGCAGCTATGACTGTGTAAAGCAGAGCATTTTCGTTTCCAGCTTCCTATTTGGAATTTTTAAGTGTCATTCGTGAAACAGCATGCACCAAGTGCTGAAGCCAAGCAAGTGGGTAGTCCCTGCCACCTTTTGTGAGGTGTACATTCTTCTGGATGTCCAGAGCAAAATATAACTAGGTGGCAATTCTGTGGCAATCCTAAACATCAATTAATCATTACCTGGAGAGTTACGAGTATAAACCAGGGGTTGTTATCAGAACATTTCCCACTTACGTGCCTTGCATCAGAAGGTAGTCTCCACAAAGCTTTGTTCCCGAGTTTCCTCCCTGACATGAATTCAGCCTTCGAGGTCAAGTTTCTTTTGAGGAACTGGCAAAGAATCCAAAGACGTCTTTCATCTGTGCGGCTGATTGGGCATTTGTGAGATGGAGGTCAGCCGATGACTTTTCAAAGATTGTATTAACTACGGACACCCTGTTGAACTGCTTCCATTGACCATCTGCCAGTTTCTATGTTTTCCTACTTGAAATCCCTCCTTTTTATGCAAATCCTGGTTTGGGGTTCCTTTCCTACTGCCTTTTGGCACAATATGGTGCTTGGACCTTGTGGCAGTCCTCCCTGCCTTAGTGCCTTTTTATGGTACTAGGAATTGTACTGTGAAAATAAACCCCATCTTTTTGTACAAGGGGCATTTTTATATGCAAATTCTTGTTTTACGTTTTCACAATCTCTGTATGTCACTAGGGTTAAATACTTTTTGACCAAGAACATTGCTTTTAAAGGCACCTTGTCCTCGGTTAAGAAATGCGGGTAGTTATTCCAATATTTACATTGGGTTGGTAGCACAGCAACCTGGAATTTCTTTAAAAGAACACTTGAAGTATAATTCCTTTCTAAAAGGAAAGGAAGGTAATCAGATTCTCTAGTGACAAAATGAGAAATGTAAAAAAAAATATTTTTGGTCTAAATAAATGAGCTTAAATTCTACGAGAAGTATATGTACGTTTTTGTGTGTATGTATTTCTAACCCTAAATTAGAAGTATTGAAGTTGGAGGTACATCATCTCAGAGAACCTGCTGTAGCTACATAGCACAGTTGATTTAGAATTCTGACTCACTGTTTTGCCCTAAGCAACAAAGCATTCCAAAATCTTACTGTGTATATGTGGTAATTTATTAGAGCCTTTGGTTGAGAATATTTTTCTATCATTATTGTTGCTAATGTGTAAATATTAGACTGTTCCTTTGAACTGAACAATGTGTCCCAGTTGACACTGTTTATCTACTTTTCATTAAAGACAGATTTGGTAATCATTTCTTTGCATCCAAAGTATATTAATTTTAATGCTTAATCCCTGTATCCCACTTGTTCCCCAAACCGGTTAAAGCTTGTCATTCCCCTTGCATTGCACTGTTGTTCCTTGTAAACCTTTGACAAGTATCTTCACAAAAGTGCCATTATGACAAATATATGTATCACAAAGCCCTGTGGCTGCCTTTCAGGTATCTACTGTCTGACTAGTAATTTTTTGAAGTGTTCCTACTCCCTGCTTTTGGAATCTTTTTCATTATCTGAATCGTGTACCAGTGGAGTGACCGAGTAATGGAAGTTAATTCTTCCTTTGCCATCACCGCCAGTCACAATCTCAACCTAGCTGTATTATATAAAATAACTTCCCAATGTCATAGTCTTATTGATTACATCATGGCATAGGAAGAGGGGGAAAAAAACCCAAGAACACATTAGGAGAAAAAAGACATTTATTGCTGACCTGACAAGTGGTAAATGGCACACGCAATAACATTTGGAGAATGCTTCCTTATTCAATGGCAAGAACTTTAATGATTTCCTAGGCACAAGGCTGACCAAGTAATGAATTCAAATGTGGAACTACTTTATAATTAGTCATTGATTACAGACAATGGGTTATGACTTTGAAGTGCTAAATGTTTTCCTTGGAGCTAAATTCATTGAATTTAGCAGTGCTTATTTTGAGTAGATATGCTTATACTGCCTTAGTAAGGAGACTTTTTCCGTCCCACACCAAAAAAAAAAAAAAAAAGCAAGTATCTGCTCTGTTCATAAGGAAGGCAGAATATCCTAACTTCTTCCTTGGCTTGGCTTTTATTTCTACTGCAGTTGTGGTAAGTAGATCAGATTGCACCAGAAAATGCCCACATCTACAGCTGATTAGTTAAAATTTAAAATTCAAACAATGGTACAAAGCATTCTGACCTATATTCAAAATACAGCCATTTCAACTGTGGGAAACTCCCCCCCCCTTTTTTTGGAACTCAAAATGTTTTGCAAACCTTTGATGCTTGTGCTACATTGGAAAAGAATATTTTTCCAATTAGCTTTCTATCATTGTAGTGGCAATCATATACTGTGACTTATGCAGGTAAGCCCTCAATGTACCATCACAATTGGGACTGGGAATTTTCATTGTAAGTTGTTACGATCATAAGTTAAGTCAGAATCAGACAATTTTCACAGTGGTTGTTAAATCACCAGGCTGTTGTTACTGCCATTAAGTGTGAGTACAGGTTATAAGTCACTTTTTCCAAGGCTATCGTAACTTTGCACCATGGTTATATGAACTGCCTTAAGTGGACGACTACTGTACCTGCATCATGCAGATTAGTAGCTTTAATGCTAAGGCAGCATATATTTATACAACATATTAAGTTATATACCCTTACATAAAACCAACCAGCATAACAAGGTATAAAATTGCTCTCCAGTGAACAAAAAGCAATAACTTACAGTAAGTTTTGTGTAAATACACTTAGTTGCTTGAATACTATGAAACTGAAAGTAACCAATTTTATGAAATCAAAGTGCAGTTGAACTCCTCTTGTAAAATAGAGCTGTTATTGTTAATGAACGAAACATGAAAGGCAAAATGCATAATTTGTAATGACTCTCTGCAGTACTCATAACTGTTACTACCAAATCTTAGAACTGCAAGCAGCTATCATGTTTTGCTGCCTTCATAGTTTAAATTTGAGAAAATAAATTCTTGCATTATTCCTTATTCTATTTTACAGTCATTACGTTCACACAGTCCTAATACTTTTCTTTTCACATGGTTTGCACAATGCAAAGTTGCCTAGTGCTCACATCAAACTAAACAACATGCTAAACTTCATTACAGCTTTACCCTCATGTGAGAACTTGACCAGTGCAAGACCCAAGAGAGAAGTCTGAGGCTTAACTATAACTTTCAAAGGCAGCCTTGCCTGTAATCTTAACATTCTTCTTATCTTACAATTGAATGACTGCAGCAGCTTACAGTTCATCATCAGTTGTAGATCTCTTAAGCATCGCATACTGTAGTTACAATGGTGAAACTTTCAAAGGGTCGGATCTATCACTACTTCCTTTTCAGATTGGGCAGGTTTACTTGCTCAAAACTGATGAATCAGAAGACGCTTATATTCGTGGACCACCAAGGTCTTACCTTTCAGCACTTCCTTGATTCACTAGACTTCAGCTCCATCTGAAGGACTGAGGATCACAGCAGATATTGTTTTGTTTTCTAGCCAGATTGTTGGAAATTAACAGGAAGGGGAAATATTATCTCAGCAGCCACTATTTCTGCGCACAAATGCATGAGCCCGAATAGCACAGTTCATCTCAATGAAATTTAATGAACCAACAGTGATCTCACAGGGGCCTAGCACTTTAAAGCCACACTTCGTATAAAAGGGAACAAGAAAGTCCTCACACATCAATGCGGCTCGACGCACACAGGGCAAGGAGCAAAGGTACTGTAGGTAGCGCCACATCAAGATGGATCCTTTGCCTTGCTGGCGGAAAATGCGATGTACTGCCAGAACATGTATGTGGACTATGGTACCATGAGGCTTGTGTAGGGTCAGCGCATCCTGCCATGGGAGAAGAGAGAAAAAAAAATGCTTTTTAGAGGTTGGTTTTTGAATCTCCCCGTTGACAGCTATATTCATCTCAAAATGTTTGCCTTAACCAGATCCTTGAATCATTGGTCTCTCAGTAAGAATCATGTCATTTCTTTATTCACACAATCTATTTTTCTAACTTTTGCAGAGATAAGCTATGACTTCAAGGAATCCAGTCATTTCAGAATAGGATTTTTGTATTCTCAATCTATCTTGCCCTGTTTCCATAAACTTATTGAATAAATGAAAGTTTCATTGTAGATGAGCTAGACATCTTGTGACGCCTTGGACACATCCATGTGATTTCCTTGATAACAATAGGTCTCTGGTTGGCCACTGTCTACTTCCATTGTTTTCTTCAACTTCTAAGTTTTCTCTACAGCTCTGGGAGTCCCTGATTCCACCCAAGCCCGATCCTGCTTACATTTTTGTGTCCAGAAAAAGTTGGCCAGAAGCTGGCCCTGATGAAACAAAGCCTACCTACTGCATTTCAATAAACCTATTCTCCCATAGCCCATTTTGGATAATTTGAAATTATGTCCAAATTCTGTAAAGCTCTTTTGATTACTAATTTCTAACTAAATGTAGTCTAATCCAATGTAATTATTGTGCCGCAACTTTATGAAAACACAGCCATCTTTCAGCATCATACTGTATGTGCATTGATATATATTTTGGAAGGGGAAGCAGGCAAGGAACAAATCATTCAGCAGTTTGCTCATAGGTGCAAAAGTGTGAAATACTGCTCTTCAGATTAACTGAGGGTTTTCTGCTTATTTAACAATAAAATAGTGTCTGGAAGTTTGCAAAAATGAAATGTTATATAAATAGAAGCATATCTTCTAGGGGTTTGCTGCACAGATGGCTGTGAACATATTTCTATGTGCATCTACCTCCCTACCTCCCTACCTATATTCCTCCCTTGTTAAGTAATGACAGATGCTGAATAATTTCTTTAAAAGAAAACTGGGTTCAGATTCCATTCTCATTCGTTCTCTCCCCAATGCTGTATAAAGCAACAAAAACAAATTTAGCTTACCTGGCTGAGTCTTTCCTGGTCCCAGAGGGAGCCAATAATGAAAGCAACTAGTTGACCTTCTTCAAACAAGCCAAGTGACAACTCAGGACATAGGTTAAGAAAATGGCGAATCTCATCCAGGTGGAGGGGGCAGTCTCCCGACACTGAAATAAAGGCTTGAGGGAAGAAGAAAGGGAGATGTAAAATTTTGTCCTGCTGATTACAGAAAGATTAAACTTCCAGAAAGCTAGGAAAATACTGGCCCCGCCCAAGAAAAAATGAAACTAGGTGAGAGGATGAATCTGACAAAACCTCGAGTCTTGCAAACTGAGATTTCAGGAATCCAATCTGGTTTCTTCTTATTACAGGTTTTCTATGAGGGGATTTAACTGATGCCTTTCACTGCAATGGGTTTTCTTTTATCAGCTATGCCAGGATTCAGTTATAGGCAGAGCTAGCAGATAAGCATTCAAATGCATAAAGTCATACATTTTTGGGAACTGAGTTAATCTTTAGCCTAATTACTATTCTTGAAATTTTTACATTTCAAATGCAAATGTGCACCACATTTATGCTGGGGCATAGTCAAATCACAGTAATGTTCAGGTTTAGCTGAAAATCCCAGACTATCTAATGGAAAAAAATCAGTTTAATCATATATCCCTCTGCCTTTCTATCTGGCTTTAGGAAATGCAAATGGGGGGGTGGGAATTGGTAAAATATGGAACATAAATGGATTAATTGCAGAGCTACTGCCATCTGCAAAGATTAGAAATGGGAAAAGAAATGCTCTCTCTGTAGTTGGCCAGCAGAATTCTTCCCCTCTATGCATGACCCAATTGCAACTTGTAGTTGAAAGAGATATTGTTCTGTTCAGTTTCTGCTTACTGCTTAGAAAATAAACAGTTTAATTTTTATCTTTTTGAACACAATATTAACTGTATCAAAGAAACCTTATACGTAAGGCATGATGCGGTTTTTATTGGTGCACTGTTAATTTAACTATCAATATCAGACCTTATGGCTGAAATTCTGATGAAATTCTTGAATATACAGTATTTTACTGTCATTAAGTCTTTCCAAACCTTAGCTTTTTCTAATGCTTTGGATTAATCTTTAGAGCGGTATTTCCCCCCCCAAAAAATCCCTATTTATTATAGTATTTTTCCTTTATTTGATTTTTGGGGAGAGGGGTGCCTTCATATCTGTTGATTCCTGGTGATTGTCTGGACGAGTCCCTGCAATTTTCTTGGCAGCATTTTCAGAAGCAGGTTGTCATTGCTTATTTCCTAGAGCTGAGAGAGAGTGATTGACCCAAAGACACCCAGCTGGTTTCTTTCCTTAACATAAAACTAGAACTCATAATCTCACTATTTCTAATCTGGTGCCTTTCACCAATACACTAAACCAGTTCGCTTTCTGAATTTAGGCATACTGTGTATTAGTTTGTCTTCCTACTAGCTAGTCTGCTTTGACTTCTCAGCATTTGGGAACATGGGAGATAACTATGAAATGTTCATAGTGTGCCATGCTTGATGTATTTGGAGAAAAAGGGCAAGAAAGATGAAATTCTGCTTTTTAATTGCCCTGGCTGAAGCTTACAATACTATACCACACTATTGCTTTCTTGCTTTTCTTCATATCACACACTCACTCGCGTGTAACTATCTTATTCAGAATCCAGTTATACAGTTCTTCCATATCATGAACATGTCTTTCTTAAGATTAAACACAAGAAATGGATTTTACCTTCCCTCTCAATTTCAAACACTCCAATGGCATCTTCAGGTGTGAGACACCGGAATTCACTTGCAGGAAGATTGTGTCGACCCTGGCCCCCAAGGGAGTTTTTTGAAGATCTGAGATAAGGAGATTTGAAAAATGGCAAAGCACTGATCATAGACATCTTCTATGGTATATCTGCCTCTTCTGTAAATGTTTCTTCTCCTCCTTTTGGAATAGCTATTTAATTCAATTGCCTCCAACACAATTAGCCAGCAGATGAGAAGACCTGCAGAGATAAGTATTACTTGCAATTTTTTGTTGTTAGGAAATAGGCATGACCGTGAGCTTCTGATCCTTGCTATCATCCCCACTGTGAAACAGAATGTCTGTCAAGTTCTTTATTCCTATCCAGCTCACAAAAGCAAAGCCTATCAAATATTCAAATGCTAAGGCACAGTCTAAGGCAGATGGGGAAAAAAACCAGTATGGGATACTGGACATCCTTTGTGGCTCTTCATAATTTGTATGTGTGGCAGAACAAACAGCTGAAACGGCAGCATTACACATAGAAACGTCAAAAGAGCAGTGAGATGACTGCGCGCGGCCAAACATACGCTCCACACGGGCAGGGCGGGTGGAGAGAAGCAGAGTGCCAGAATTCAAACAGCTGTCAACGAGCCCGACGGAAACAGGAACGGGGCAACTGATTACGGGAGGGTGGGAGTTGAATAGACTCGTAACACGCTTGTTAGCAAAACGGTTGGCTCAGCAGAGATTATAAGAACGTATTCCCTCAATCCTGGCTTGAACTTTGATGATGACAGCAGGTGCTGGCGAAAGCTAAATTTTAATAAATTTTTAGTCTTGGTGATCTGTATTTTCATGTTCTTTATATGTTTTAGCCTCCAATCCCCTAATCATCTTTGTTGCTCTTCTCTGCACTCTTTCTAGAGTCTCAACATCTTTTTTATATTGTGACGACCAAAACTGGATGCAGTATTCCAAGTGTGGTCTTACCAATTTACATACATATATCTATATTTTCCATGTCGGATGGTCTGCATGGGTTGATGAACTATTAAATCTACAAAAATACAGTAGCCAAACCAGACTTTGGGTTTTGATTTATTCACATTGTCCATTTTGGGCAATCATTCCAGACCCAATTATTCAGCTGAATTGAATTATTCCCAGTCAGTCTATTTTGAGCTAAAGCCATTAGATTTTGGGCTGAAGCTTTAAAGTGATACACACCCAGCTCAAATTCCTTCATGGAATTCTTCAAATGTGGATATGCACAGCAAAATCTAAATCTTGTGAATAGCCATCAGAAGCAAAATCAGAGATAATGAAAAAAGAAAACCAAAAACCTTGCATTTATGCTATTACTGATGCTTGTTTCACTGATATATGGTCTACTAGGTATAGGCTAGCTCTAGTTCATGAGAACCAAAGAACAAAACTAGCAAAATACTCATAAATGCAATACCATGTCAGAAAAAGTGGATTATATCATTTGATTATCGAAGTTACAGATTACTGTATCTACAAGGATTTATGCTATTTAATCCATGTGAATATCCATATAAAACTGATTTGGATGGGGTTTATGACTACAAATTAACACTGTGAGAACCGGGTACGCAATATCCATGTATATACTCTAAGTATTGTTTCTAACTATGATGTTCCTGAATGTGGGTTCTGGTATGAAAAGGAATTGAAGAACAAAACAGGTGAGAAAAACTAATAAATCCACTATAAAGCTATCAATTAAACCTGACAAGTGATCATTACGTGGATTTCTTTAGTGGCCTCATCCCAACCAAATTTCAAGGAACTAATTCTTGGCTCTTGCAATTTTATTTCTATTATTCACGTGCATGGCTGTATGTCTTAGCATAGAATCTACAAGGGTGCTCAAGAGGAATTAGCAGCAGAGATACAGATGACATCAAACCTAATATCTAAGCCTGCTTGATTTGGGTTTGAGTAAGATTTCCCCTACAATACACGCAGCTTATTGTACATTTCCTGATCTGTCTACTTTGGAGCAGAGGATACCATGGCACTCATATATTTAGCTTCTCAGTTTTTCTCAAACCTGCTATATTTGTGGTCTTCAGCAGAAACCAATAGAGAGGCAGTAATATCTATTCCTTTTAATTTCCACAAAACATTTTTTCACAATCCCGGTAGCAGATTAAGCATTTTTCTCAGACTTCAAACATAAAACTTCAGTGTGGATTTATTTTACTATTAACAGCAGTATTTCCAAACTTTTAGAATTTCCAAAACTCAATAAAACAATAAAGGGTTTAAATTTAGCAATAATTTATAAGCAATCTGAATAGATTGTCTTCTATGTTGAATATTTGTAAAACTATGTCAGTGAAATTCTTCTCAATTTATTGATCTATGATAGCATCTACTCATCATATATCTGGAGGTTAATTACTATGCAGCCCCTCTGCACTGCCCAAGCAAGGTAAAAAATGTGCTACTATGTGCAACATTCTTTACATATGCAGCATTCATACGAAGAAATTAAAAAGTAATAGAAGCACTGCTGCAACAATACATATTGCAGGGTACTATAATCCCTAACCAATGGGCCTAAATATTTTTTTCTGTCCAAAGATAAGGGATTTGTTCAGGCTATGCTTTAATTTATATATAATTAATTTTCAANTATTTAAATCATATTCCAATCCTGAATTAATTTTCTTAAAAATGCCCTTTTTTCAACAGAACTTATTCTCTAAATTCTAAATAATTCTAAATCCTTGGAATCTTAGGATTTTAAGATTTAATTCTCTGAAGTTAACTGTCAGGCTTCTCTCACAATAATTTTAATTTTCTTGTATACTGAATGTCCAACTGCAAAAAATGATTGTGTGATTACATGCAAGTGCTATGATTGAATGATTATATTTAATTTTTTAAAAGATTGATGTTACAATTAAAATATGCAAAATACCAGGATAGAAGATACAATACTAATATTTTTAGATTTGTAATATTTGTAATATAAGCAAGGAATGAATCTTACCTTCATATTATTATAATATGAATCTTACCTTCATATTATTATACTTTTCTGCTCAGATGATTTACTTAACATATTACAATTTAACATTTTGTAATGAGCAAATACTATCTGCTATAGGAGAAACAGTTCAAATTAACTTCGGAATGAAACTTTCCTTGACCTTGGAAATCAACTTCATTAAATTAAACTGAATTGCAGTATCTTTCTTACCTGTATGTTGAGTTTTCTTTTAGTAGTCTATTAACTTCTCCACAATGACACTGCAGAATTGCTGCTAGAGAGTAAGATAAAGAAGACTGCAGTTAATGTTAATGGGGTCCCAGCTTTTATTTTTCCAGAGACTTAGGGAACTCCAGCTTATATATTTATTTTAGTAGCACGTGATGATTTTCTTAAAACATCTAACCCCTCAGGAGGCATAGAATTGCAAAAGAGCTTTAAGGTGACATGTCAACAAAAAGATGGTAGCAGGCTTTACTTTCTTGACATGATTTTCTCCCTAGGGATAAAATGTTTTAGCTTATTGCTAAATACAAAGGGCATCTTATAGGCCTCAAGTGAATAGCTAAGCAGGGCACATTGGCAGAGTACTGGTGGAACAAAAACATATTGCATACATTCTTCCTGGAACTATTCATTCTCAAAGGATTTCCCGCTTGAAAGTGAATGTACTCAATCAATATTACTGTAAATATAATTGTCTTCCTGGAATTGTCTTTGATCCATTAATTGCACCAACTAAATTGTTCATTATTACCATATTAACAAATAGGTTAATAACCTCTCCTCTAAATATTTTGCTTGGAGTATGGAACTGTACTCCTATGTCTTTAATATATTCAGTTATTTGTGATACATACATGGAATATAAACAAACAGCAAGAAAAGTAGGGCTAAGATTAGACTGAGAATAGAAACCACAAGAAATTAATTCATGGTCTGTCTGTGTGTGTGTGGGCGCATCATGATAGTCAGGTTTGTGAGTATTCTATTGGCATCTTCTGAATGGCACAACCAAGTAGCTTGCATTGTATATAGGAATATCTGCACGGAATATGGGCTGGATCCTCTTAAGTCCAGATGGGAGATCTCACAGAAGATCATGGAGAATAAGAAAGCTAAGAGCCTGTGGGACTTTCAGATCAGAGAGACAAGCAGGTGCTAGCTAATCAACCACACATCATGGTAGTTGACAAGGAACGGTGGTAATAGATACAGCAGTGCCAAGTGACAGCAATATCAGGAAGGAGGAGTATGAGCCCTGGCAGAAGAGAAGTTTAGTGAAGTATTGCAGGCAAACTCTGCCCACAGCCTAGAGTTTGATCCTGATGGGGCTCAAGGTTGACCCAGCCTTCCATCCTTTCGAGGTCGGTAAAATGAGGACCCAGATTGTTGGGGGCAATATGCTGACATTGTGAACCATCCAGAGAATGCTGTAAAACAGAGGTCCCCAACCCCCGGTCCATGAACTGGCACTGGGCTGCGGCATGCCAGAAACTGGGCCGCGCGAACAAGCGAAGCCCGATCCATGGAATGCAGGCAGCACACAAAACCACGCCCCCTCCTTTCCACGAAAAAAACTCTCCCCACAGAACGGGTCTCTGGTGCCTAAAAAGTTGGGGGCCTCTGCTGTAAAACACAATGGGCAGTATATAAGTCTAACTGCTATTGCTATGAGAAACTGGAGAAGTATCAGGGGCTGCAGGAGAAACTGGAAAGGATGTGGAAAGTAAAAGCCAAGGTGGTCTCTCAGTGGTAGAAGCACTTGGGACTCTGACTCTAAGCGGCGAGAGTGGCTCCAACAGATCCCAGGAACAACAACAGAGCTCTCTGTCCAGAAACCCTACTGGCTGAAGAATCTATGTTCTGTCTCTCCTGATATTCCTCCTTTAGAAAAAAAACAACAACAATCCTTCCCATTGTGGTAGAATCCTCAGCTTTCATTGCTCTGCCCTATCCACATACAGTATGGTTTCTGCGATCAAAGACTTTCAACTTCAAAAACAGGAAGTCTTGAGGAGAAAGGAGCAGGAACTATAATGTTCTTCTTATATTAGAGCAACTTTACACCTGCTATGGTCCTTGGAATGATGTTTCAGGGATCAGAGGACCATCAACTAGACAGTGAGATTTCTCTACATTAA